GTCGTTATCGGGAAATTTCTTGGCTCTCATTGATGTCTTGCCAGTCCTGACTAATCGATCGAGATGCACGTTCCGTTGTTCTCCCTTGCGAAGGCTGAACTAGACAATTTTGAGAAATCGATTCCATTCGTCTACCTCAGGAATTCGACTATTTATGCCTGTATAAGATTTCGCGCGAAATTGACGACAGTTTCTGGTGCGGTCGTGTTTGTGACTGAAAAGCAAGGAGCTCAAACACATTTTATTGGTAAGTTTTCTTTAGTTTTTTACGTTTTACAGTGTGTAAACCGTAGGTGCAGATGTGCGGCCGCTTTATAACACGCGTGAGGGTTTTTACATTTTATTTTGGATGCTTGTTGTTTGCTTCATTCTTTACTATTCACACTGATGTATGAGCTGCTCCTTGGTTTTTCTTTCTAATTGACTATTAACCGTGTCAAAACCTACTTGTTGCATTTAATAATGACATTTCTATGGATTTGAATTCTTTCAGATTTCTGATAATTTCATAGTTTTTCACAATGGGAATTCATGGACTTGCAAAGCTCATTGCAGATCACGCGCCTTCAGCTATCAAGGAGCAAGACATCAAAAACTACTTTGGTGAGGCCTCCTATTATTTAAACATTATTTCTTGGATTATTGTACCAGGGAAACTTAAATGTACCATATGTGAGTGTTTGCATCATTTATGTATTTTACATGCATGCATGCAGGCAGGAAAATTGCTATTGATGCGTCCATGTGCATCTACCAGTTTTTAATCGCGGTTAGACAGGACGGTAATGTGTTGCAGAATGAAGATGGAGAGACCACTAGGTATGTAGAGTTGTCTACTATCATTTGTGCAAGTCTGCATGGAAACATGACAATCTGATTGAGTTCAAAGTGCATACTTTGATTCTCTAACCATGTGCCAGGTTACATTTGCATGGTCATACTATTCGCACAACCTCTGTGTCTCCCCAGCCACCTCATGGGAATGTTCTACAGGACCATCCGAATGCTGGAGAGTGGCATCAAGCCAGTTTATGTGTTTGATGGGAAGCCACCTCAGCTGAAGTCAGGAGAGGTGCGTCAGAAACACACAGTCACTCTAATGCAGGGGTGTCCAAACTCAGTCCTGGAGGGCCGGTGTCCTGAAG